GCAGGGCCTCATCCAGAGAATCTTGCAGGATAAAGAAAACAAACTTTTCTTCCCCCACAACAACAGCATTATTCACCATAACCAAAACATGGAAGCAACCCAAGTGTGGTATCAACAGATGAAAGGATACACAAAATGTGGCGTATACATACAGTAGAATATTATTCAGCCTTAAAAAAGAAATTCTAGCGAGCTGGACAAGAGGCGCAGTTGGTTAAGAGCTCACTCAAGAGTGTGAGCTCTGAGCAACTGTGGTTTGATGCCCAGCCCGAGCTGAGCTGCCACTGAGCTGCCAACAGGTGGCAGGATGGCTCAGCTAAAAAAAAAAAAATTTCTAACACACATTGCAACACGGATGAACCGTGAGGACATTATGCTAAGTGATATAAGCCAGACACGAGAAGACAAATTCTGTCTGATTCCATCAGAGACACAGAAAGTAGAATGTTGGTTGCTAGGGGTTAAGGGAGTGGGAAAAAGGAAGTTGTTGCTTAAAGGGGACAGTTTCAGTTTTGCAAGATTGGTAATTGCAAAAATTCTGGAGATTGGTTGCACAACAAGATGAATATACTTAACACTATTGAACTACACACTTAAAACTGGCTAAAATGATACACTTTACATATGTGATTTTACCACAATTTAAAAAAAACAAGCAATGCTTTTATTTATTATACGATAAAGTGCTTCAGAAGCCACTGACTTCAAAATTACTTATTTGGAGTGGAGGTGGGCAGTAAACAATTCCAAAGATACAAAAAGTAACCAGCCCTCTGGACTCAGGCCTCTTCCCAGAGGCAAACACTGTTTTTAATTTCTTGTGTGTCCACCCAGCATCATTCTAAGTGTAAACATATCCCCCTAATATTTATACTAACTATAGCAAACCCACTGTTTGTACCTTGCTTTTTGCTTTCATCTTTTATATTCTGGAGATTGCTATCGAAACATATTGAGCTGCTTGTTTTTAAATGTCACTCTATTAAACCTTGGCCTGAACTTTCCATATTTATTTATTTATTTAGCCAGTATTCTCTTGGACATTTATTTCCAAATGTTTCCCACCGCAAACAGGGTAGAAGTGAGTATTCTGTGAGCACATGTGCCAATATCTGCAGGATATATTCCTAGTAACAGATGAGCCAAAGGGCAGCTGAATTAAAATTTCAGAAGGGGGGCAGCTGGATAGCTCAGGTGGTTAGAGCACAGGCTCATAACACCAAGGTTGCTGGTTCGATTCCCACATGGGCCAAGGAGCTGCGCCCTCCACAACTACTTGACTTGGAGCTGATGGGTCCTGGAAAAACACATTGTTCCCCAATAAAATTTCTTTTTTTTTTTTTTTAAAGATTTTATTGGGGAATTGGGGGGAGGGGAACAGTGTTGGGGAATCGGGGAAGGGGAACAGACAGGTAGACAAAATGCTGCTTTTGTTCTTCAGCCTAGTTGTGGAGGACATCCCTTCACTGGCCCATGTTGGTATGATCATTGTGCTCTTCCCGGGTGAGGCAATCGGTCGCCGGTCATTGGTCGGTCGCTACAGCGGCTCCCGGCAGCTCACATCGGCTGCCGACCATTCATGCTGGCTGCCAGCCAGCCACTCATGTAGCTCATGGCAGCCCACTGCAGTCGTGCTGCAGCTTACGCCGTCGCCGGCGACTCGTAGCAGCCCAGCTCCAGGTCGAGCTGTTCATCATCTTAGCTGTAGAGGGCGAGCGTCACTGGCCCTCAATGTGGGATCCGAACCACAGCCCTGCTGCTCACAGCTGGTGCTCTCAAGCGAGCTCTTAACCAGCTGAGCCACTCGGCTGGCCCTAAAATTTCTTAAAAATAAATTGAATTTCAGTAGGAATTGCCAAATTGTCTTCTGATGCCGCTACACCAATTCATATTTATACCAAAAATGTAATGCATGCCTAATTGCCCACCCCTTTGCCACATTTGTTCATAAAAAGCCCAAGTCAGCACAGTTACTTCATTGGCCAACTTCGTCCAGTTTACTGGCCCTCTTCCCCACACTCTAGCTGTAGTTGGCTGTTGAGCCCTCGTTCTTGAGGCCGGATTGACTTAACTTTCCTTGTTTTCATATCAAGAACATAACTTCTGATATTTATCCTCTAAGCTCATGGCTTGTGAGAGGCGTTCCACTCAAGGCCAGCAATAACCCTCGATACCCATCCCTCTACTTCCTATGGGGGTCATGACCATGCAGGATGCTCTGAAGCAATTCTCCCTTCATCACAGGTATTTCTGTTACACGAACTGGATTATCCTTGCTATTTTGCAGACTACTCACTGTGCAAATGCTGCAGACCCCCTCGATTGGCAGTGAATAAGGCTGCCCAGTGCCAGGTGGTAATATGGGAAGGGGAAGTGGAGGTGTAGAAACAGGGTTGGGAAAATATTGGTAAATGTTGAAGCTGGGTACACGGGTTTCATTATACAATTGAATAATTCATGACACATGAAAATTACATGAAATTCAAATTTCAGTGTCTATAACATCATCTGGCAGCTTGTGGGTTGTACATGCACCAAGTTGCAGGGCCGGTTGACCCTTGAACAACGCAGGTTTGAACTGCGTAGATCCACTTACACATGGATGTTTTTCAATAAGTACCTGCAGTTTTTAATCTGTGCTTGGGGGCCTGCAGAAGCGGAGGGCTGACTGTATACGTTGATCTACGCCATTTATATAGGGGACTTGAGCATCTGTGGATTACGGTATCCGTGGAGGGTCCTGAAACCTCCAAGGATACTGAGGGACAATTTAAATTTTGGGGGAGTCAAAAGTTATATGCAGATTTTCCACTGTGTGGGGGGTCGGTATTCCGAATCCCTACATTGTTCAAAGGTCATCTCCTGTCTACTTTTGTATGTTTGAAATTGTCCATAATACAAAGAAAAAGAGGGGAGCGGGGGAAAAAGAGGAAGAATCTATAAAATAAAAGTTTATAATATGTAATCAGGTAGAGTCTTTGTGATCTTAAATTAAAAGTTTTGTTGACTTTTCCAGTTACCGTATTTGTATCCACCTTTCCTGGGCCTAATTTTCTATTTCTATACTATTTTACTGTACGCTTCTCTTTGAGAGGCAATGTATAAGTAAGTTAAAAGCATTACACCAAGGGCTATAGAAGCCTTAAGCTTCCTGATATTCCTAAGGGAATCATGCACCAATCAAACTTGAAAACTGCAAATTTGGGGCGGGCCGAGTAGCACGTTGGTTAAGATCTGGCTTGGGACTCCAGCTCTGAGCATCAGGGCCCCGGTTCGGGTCCCACATGAGGGCCAGTGACGCTGCGCCCTCTGCAGCTAAGATGGTGAGCAGCAGCTCAACCTGGAACTGGGCTGCCATGAGTCGCCGGCGATGCCGTAGGCTGCAGCCCCTGCTGCAGTGGGCTGCCATAAGCTACCATGTGTGGCCGGCAGTCAGCGTGAGCGGCCGGCAGCTGGTATGAGCTGCCAAGAGCCGCTGTGAGCGGCCGTCCAGTGACTGGTGACGGATCTGCCTCACCCGGGAAGAGCGCAATGATAATACCAACATGGGCCAGTGAAGTGACGTCCTCCACAACTAGTCTGAAGAAGAAAAAGGACAGCAACTTGTCTGTTTCCCTTTCCTGATTCCCCAACGCTGTTCCCATCCCCCAATTCCCCAATAAAATCTTTAAAAAAAAAAGAAAATAGTGCAAATTTCTCTTTGTGGTTTATGCTATTGCATATTACACACTACTGCCCAATTTAGTAACGAAACAGGGGTGGTGCATATGGTCTGTGCAAATCCAAGAGCCTTTCTTCAAGTATGTACTTGAAGTTCAAGTTAATTTTAAAGTAAAATAAAAAAATCTATATATACCAACTATACCTGATGTACAATTTAAAATATAAGACATTTAACAATAAAATAATAGGGCCGGCCAAGTGGTGTGTTGGTTAAGAGTTGGCTTGGGACGCCAGCTCTGAGCAGCAGGGCCCTGGTTCGGATCCCACATGAGGGCCAGTGACACTGCCCTCTACAGCTAAGANGGTCACATGTCTTGTTAGGGAGACCGCATCATAGATGGGGTACAGGCTTGGAGTCAAGGGAATTGTAATAGGTATGTATGATATTGGGGGGGGAAGTGGGGCGGCGGATTGGGGGAGGGGGGTTGTCACTTCGAGGGGTAAAAAGTATAACTATTGCACTGTGTTGTACAGCTGAAACTAATTTAAAAAAATGTATTTCACAATAAAAAAAAGCAAAAGGGAATGAGGCAGATGTATGTATACTGGTTCAGAAAATGTCTAAAAATACAGTGTTGAGTGAAAAAAACAAACAAACTGCAAAACAGCATGCATACTATGATCTAATATGTGTTAGAAAGACAAGAGAAAGATGTCAGTGCATAGAAAAAAAATTTCTAGACATAAAAGAAACTCAGTATTGGTTATCTCTAAGAGGAACCAAGAGAGTAGAGACACAAAGTTTTCTTTCTTCTCTTGGAACTGTCAACTATAAAAACTACTTAAAATTTTTTAAACTTACTTTTAAAAATGAAAACAGTCAAATTAAGTGTTTGAAATACTTAATTAGAATAACACATTCTTAAACCACAGTATTTTTTCTAACGTTTCCACTGTTTCTCAAACAAATGCTGTATTTAAAGCAAGCCTACCATGAAATACTTCAAGATAATTTTTCCTTAGTCTTCATTCTCCTATTTTTAAGAATTATTAGGAGACTTATCACCCCCTCCCAAAGAAGCTAAGGAAATTCTTAAAAAGGGTCACTATAAAGAATCAGGAACTTCAGACAAACTGAAGTTCTTTAACCTAGAATTATGACTTTAAAAATCTATCTACCAAATTGAGAGATCCTCCCCACCGCCCACTCAGTGGTTTGTGTATAGCATGAGGGAGGACTTCACATGGATTAGGAGAAAGGAGAAGTCAGTTACTGAACTCCAGATTGACACTATATATACTTTTTTTTTTTTTTTACAGATCTTTCCCAGCACCAAATAAAAGTAAGAAAATTATCTCACCTGGTTCAGGGTTGGCGGGTGTATTCCAGGAAGAGTCATAGTAGCATTTTCGCTACACTTCAGATACAGGAAATATAAATACTGGAGAAACAGCTGGACCAAAAAAAAAGGGACAATTTATTGCTTTGATAGAATAATGTTCTCTCTATATAAATCTAACAAAGGGACTGGAAGGAATTTTAAGAGGCTACTGAATGTAACTATCTGTGGACATACACACACAAAAAACGCAGTCCCTGCCATCAATGAGGAGTTGATCTGGCTTGGGAGGGATGAGTGGGAAGCTTACTGTTTGTAAATAGTAAGTAGAGAAGAGAGACTGTACTCTGGGCAATTCTTTTCAGTTTCTACTCATTTATAACTTAGATGGATTAACCTTGCCTTCAGGCATGGCCCCAGGAATATGCCAAGATCTGCCAACCAGAAATCAATCTAGTCTCCTAAGCACAGTTTTTACCATGAGGGCTGGGGAATCTCTTATTCACACGGAAAAACTTGATAACCTTTCAAATGCCCTAAAAGCTGGTGAGAGTTAATCAGCAAAATTTAAACAGAAATAAAATTCCATAGGGTCTGTAAGAACACTTACCGTGATATGTTGTGCTGGGATGTCTTTCAGGTGAGGGAGAAGAAACGTTTCACTATACGCCGAACGAAGAATTGCATTTCTACTTAGGAATAAAGGAAAATCTTAATAAATAAAGGCTTTGTTACTGAAATTATGAGTAATTACCTTTCCCAAAGATACATTTTTAAATTTACACAAAAGTTTTGCTTTTCCAGAAGAATTCTATCACTGAACATTCTAATCACTAGAGATTGTCCTGAATACTTCACTATTATGTATCATTTGTATTTATTCAGAGTTCTAATTTTAGAATTGATAGAGCATCTACCTTAGTACAGCTTCTTACATAAGAAAACAGATTTAAGTTGTTTAAATATTGAACGTAATCCATTTTCAAGCAGAAACTGGGAAAAAAAAACCAACACCTGAAATTATCTTACTCCTTAGTTATTCCTTGGCATTTGACTACATCCCCAGAAAGAGATAATACAAGGGAAACTGTTCCAAAGGATACAGTAAAGCTGCTTTTTTTGGTATTACAGGGCACGAAGTGGTGTCTGTTATGTCCTGAGGCTTTTCATTTAACTCTTTATCACAGTTATCTTCTTCAGGATTGAAGCCATTTTGAAGAATTGCAGGTTGCTCTTCCATGTGCTCATCTTGTACAGCATCACTGTAGTCAGAAACTGATTCCATATTGACTTCTGCTTTTTGAAGAATCTCATCACCAATGCTATGGCGTTAATTGAAAGCAAGAAATTCTTATCTCTATTTGAACTTACTGGAAAACTTTTCATTTTCTAAGCATTCAAAGTTTTAGAAATTGAATACTATAATAGATAAAAGAGGCAAAGGACCATCAGCTTCTAACTTACCTCAAGAATATTTTTAAGCAAGCACAGGTGATTGCTTCAGGAATGTCAGGGAACTGCTGCAGACAGAGCTGTAACATCTGTACATCTGTCTTTTCTAAGGCAACCTCCATTAAGCCAGGGCACAAGCTAAGAAAAAAATATGTATCATTTTTTTTTTTTTTTTAAGCTGAGCCATCCTGCCACTGGCAGCTCAGTGGCAGCTCAGCTCGGGCAGGGAACCGAACCAGCAACCCTGTTGCTCAGAGCTCGCACTCTTGAGTGAGCTCTTAACCAACTGATCCACTAGGCCGGCCCTCAATTTTGTATAGTAAGAAAAACCTCCACTGCAAATAATTTACAAGCTTTTTCAGGGTATGAAAATTAGAACTGTAAAAAAAAGGTCAAGAAGAGCTGTGCGTGTAAAGTTTGATGTACAAACATTTACCTGTAAGAAAGCACATGTGTTTGGATAAGCTGCATCAGAGAGTTCCGGGGATAAAATGATGGTTCTGTTTTACATCTTCCCAGAAGTCCTATTACTATGTCCCCAATAACAGTATGAAAGTCAGGTGTCCGCTTGATAGCCAAAAATTTACGTAGTTCTACTTCAATGTGTTTTTCTGAATCTTTCTGAAAGGGCAGAAGTAAAGAGTTCAGTCTGATATATTAATAAATGTCGCTCTGAACTTAAAAGTTCCTAGCTCAACAGTATTCATGCATTCCTATGAAACTTGAGTTGATGCTACAATTTGCTGCACAAAGACAAACTGCAAAGAAAAACAAAACAATTCAAAGGTTTAGAAATCAAAATTTTTAACACTTTGTAAGCGGGCATTTTTCTCTATACGACGAGTTTACTCGTTTCTCGCAAACAATGTGTTAAGACACTAAATTACAAATATATTCAACACAAAGTTGAATCAGAAGCTGATGAGGGTTTAACAGCACCCTGATCTCATCAAAAGATCAGTGAGTCAAATAAGCCAAAGTATTGGATCACTCTCACGACCTTAAGACACAGTGTTAGCTACAGCTATAAAAATGATCACAAAAATAAGAGAATGAAAAGTAAATACGACTTCATTTAACCACTTGAGTTGATTTTTCTAATATTTTTAAATTTACCTTTATGGTTGATAAAAGTTGTTTGGATGCTGGAACCTCTGGCTGTTCACTTGCTTCACTTTTTCTTCTCCTTAACTATAATTAAGTAAATTGATTAGGATCTCAAACAATAGAAAGGTTCTAATATACATTTAGAAGAATATGAAATGTCCCAAAGAAACAAGCACACTTATGCTGTAATCAAAGTTTTCTTAATAGTTTAATTTTGTTACAGTGAAAAGTGAATTTATTTCAACTTTTAAGTTAAATATCTTTAATACTTTAAAGGTTTTTTGTTTTTTTAAACACAGAACAAAATCTTTATACTAAGAAAGGTATTACTAATTACTAATTGGTCTGTTTTCACACCTGGATATTACACACACATACACACCCGTAAGATTTAACTACTACACTACATGTGTCATTTTTGGATAAAAGCTGTTGGGTTACTGAATTTTAAACATTAAGATCAAAGCTGTAAAAGTTGTACAGGTATGAATTAAAATAGCCTTTTTCTGTTTTTTAGTATTTGCACTAATATTTCTTTTCCACTACCAAACTTACCATTCTCTTCGATGGCTCTGAGTTCAGGGATCCAAGTCCATGTCCCTGAGAGGTTTCCCAGTTTACAAAATGAGACACAGAATGAGTGCCTACGAAAACACAAAATACACAATTTCTGGAATTCTTTGATCAACTGGTATTTACCCAACCAATCAAACAAAAAACAACTACATGCATGACTCAAGAGAGGCTTTAAAGTCTGCTTTATTCTACTGATAACTTCAGATCAGTAAGTCATAATATAGTAAAAGGCTATGTTCTCAGCAACATTAAGCCAACAAATGAGACCATTGGTAAATTAGGGAGGATAGAGGCATTAATGATTTTGTCTGGGAGATTCCCCCATTGCCTCTAACATCAGAACACTGGTGTTCAAGACACAGTGTAGCTCTTCCGTCTGCAGCAGTACCTGCAATCTGCACTACTCCCAAGGTAGATACCGAGTTAAGGAAATTTCAATAATCAGTGTCAAATTTCTTCTTCTTCTTCTTTTTTTTTTTTTTTTTTACTTTTTTTAAAAGATTTTATTGGGGAATTGGGGGAAAGGGAGCAGACAAGTTNCACAACTAGACTGAAGAACAAAAGGACAGCAACTTGTCTGTTCCCCTTCCCCCAATTCCCCAGCGCTGTTCCCATCCCCCAATTCCCCAATAAAATCTTTAAAATAATAAAAAAAAAGGATGCCAGTCTTTTCAAAAAAGTTGTCCAGAATTTTGAAAAGTTTTTTCCTTCAAGAGATGTCTGCAGCAAGCAAAAAGAAATATTACCAATATTTCACTGATTTGGGTATGCTTTCAAGTGTTTCAAAATGATAATGTTGATAATTAAAGGAAGCAGAACGGTATCATCTAAAGTCACATTTCAGCTTTACCAGTTAGTACAAAGCTATGGGTACTGGGTAAGACATGACATTTATGGATAAATTATTCTTATGCCTTTTCAGCTCTAATTTTGAGTCTGAAACTGTTAAGAATCAAAACATGAGAACTATATAAAAACATGTTTTTATGAAAATATTAAGTGTAAAAAGTGGACCACACATTGTACGCTCATTAGAACTATTCATTCTAACTCTTCAAATCTGTGAAATAGCTCTATCCATGTATTTGCTCATCCATCTACAGGTTAGAGCAGGCTGAAGAGGTGAGAATGGTGGCTATATGGCACAGCGTTCCATTTTAGAGTGAAATTTATGCCAAAAGAATTTTACAATTTGCAACCACAACCTCCAAAGTAATAACTGATTCAGGCAGAAATTACCAATGGATCTAAAACCACTATTGGGGAATAATATTTCAGAATAGGATATTCGATCTCAAAGGTACACACAGGTTACTTATGAAGTACAAAGGAAAAGTTACCTTTAGACTGAGGTAATTCCTACCTTAACTAAGTGATCCAATTTAGCATCAATGATGGGACAACTCACATCAGTGCCTCCAGATGCTGTGCCTTCTCTGTAGTATTCTTGTCAAAAATGTTTAATCTGAATCTAATCATGTGGAAAGGAGACAAATCCAAATTGAGGGACATTCTGCAAAATAACTGGCCTAGATTAGATCCTTCAGGAATGCAGTATCTAGGAAACTGTTCTAAATTAAAAGAGATTTTAAAAACACAAAAACTAAATGCAATGCATGATCCTTGAAAAAATTTTAGGAGGGTAAAAGTCCAGCTATAAAATACATTACTGGGACAACTGTGGAAATCTGAGTAAGAACTGTAATCATTCTAAATAGTACTACATTAATTTCCAAAATGTGATAATTGCATTGTGGTCATATAAAATAATACTCTCGTTTTAGAGGATTAAACTGAAGTATTGGGTTGTCGGAAAAGTCATGATGTATTTTTTCTATGTTTTTTTGTTGCAAAAATGCGTCATGACTTTTCCAATAACCCATTATTTGCGGGATTAAACTGAATTACGGGATTAATCAGGATGTTAGCAAATAACTCAAATGATTCAGAAAAAAAAAGAGTGGCAAAACAAACATGGTAAAATATTACCAATAGGTGAATCTAGGTCAAGGACATATGGGTATTCATTGCTGTTTCTTGTAATATTTTTAGGATTAAAAATTTTAAACAAGAGCTGGGCAAAAAGTTCACTTTAGTTTTTTAGTTTTATACATGGTCCAGAATGGACTCCACTATAGTTACACAACCGTATATTTACAATGAAGGCTAAGGAAGCAAAAAGCAAACAAATGTCTAACTTTAAGTAGTAATGATAACCTTTTAGCCGACATCTCCCTCCAAAAACATTAAGTTCACAGCAGGAAATCACTTCTTAGATGTAGACCTTAAGTTTAAAGAACAACTCTTTTATTATTATATAGATGTAGTATATATGTAATAAAAAACAAATTTGAGATACAATTTAGTGTCTAAAAAAATAAAAGTCTAGAGCAGGGGTTGGCAAACTTTTGAGACGGAAGAGCCAATCCTGTCCCTCACAACAATTTAAAAATTATTCGACAGCCATAAATATATTTTTACAAATAAGGAAAATTTAAAGTAATATTATAACAAATAATAGTATTAATTATATCTTTATTAAAATAAGAAAAATTCACACATGTACATACCCAAAGAGCCGCAGTTTACCAACCCCTGGTCTAGAGGCATACACTGCCTATATGTGGTGAATAAACATGTACTTTCCAGAAACAGTAACTACTGCAAACGCTCAGAATTATTACTCTATGGTTGGACAGATAAGATCCATTATTCAGTAATTTATTCAATAACCACTTACTGAAACCAGTTATGTGCCAGTAGTCCTGTGCTTACTGTGCAGAAAGGGTAAGACACAGTCGTCTTGAACTCAGCCTGTAAGAGTCTCTTGTCAATTATATATATATAAAAAAAATCTCTGCATGTACTTATAAAATCCTTATTGAATTTCTAAATTTAGTGACTTAGACTACAGGCATTGTAGAAACAATTTGCAATTAGTATTTAATAGAAATTAAAAATTTCTAATTACTTTAAGCATCAATAATTTGCTTCCATAATATCTACAACCAACATTATTAAACTTTACAATAAAGACTTTATAGGGACCCTATAGAGAAGGGACTCTATTCAAAAAAGGCAAACGTTTGAGGGTCCAGGGACTCTTCTTCTGGCCTCCCCCCGCTCAAAGGCCTCTTGTTTGATCCCTGACCAGGCAAGTTATGTTTCACTGCTGACGCCATCCTCAAGCGCTATTCAATCAGGAGTCATGAAGAGCAAAATGTCCCTCTATGAAATGACAGCCACTGAATTTCAGTTGCTTATCTTGCTTTTGCTGAAACAAGAATTTGTTCTTGATAAAAGAGTTCACAAATCAACCTTGAGATTTGTCTCTTAATTAGGGTTCTTATAAATAAAATCATTAAAAAGTCAGAATTTAAAGTGTTAAAATCTTGAATAATCTTAATCCCCCTAAAAATGGATCTTGAAATCATAAAGGATCCGCTACTCTAAATCTCAGTTTTAAGGAAAAGCTTAGGGACCCACAAGTTTATGTCTGGATCTCTGCAAGTAATTCTTAAATGGTTCAGTAAAAAAGAGAAAAAGGAACACACACCATGGAGACCCGCATTTTTCATTTCTGCTGAGTACTGTTATCACTTTAAATTGTCTGAGCAAAAGGTCTCATTATATAAAGTGAGCATGACAGTTAATATATGCTATTTCTTTGGTATTTCTTTTCTCTCGGGATTAAAGAGAGATTAAAAATGACTGAGGAGGGCCGGCCGAGTGGCGCGATGGTTAAGAACTCGCTTGGGATGCCAGAGGTCCCCGGTTCGGATCCCACATATGAGGGCCAGTGACACTGCCCTCTACAGCTAAGATGCTGAATAACAGCTCAACCTGGAGCTG